GATTATCCTAATTTTTCGACTTTAAAGTTCGCAAGCTAAACAAATGATCGAAAAATCACCACAAAAAGCCCTTGTACCGTACATTCAACTTGCACATCTTTCGCACAACATTAAGTCTAAAAGCATGGAGGCTGGGCATGTCGTAACTCATCTGGACGTGTTTCTGCAACAAAGCAAGGACGCCCTCTGGGAAGACATGAAAAATAGATTAACAAAGTGATGATCATTTTTCTCTTGTGCATGATAGTATTAGTCATCTTTGTAAAATGTGAAGCACTGAAATTGTTTTGTTATTTGAAATTGTGTAAAAATTAGAAAATTTCAGCGAACCCTTGATTCACTTAATTGGCCAACACCAATTGAACTTCCCTACACTCCTGTAACGACTGAACATTTATCCGCGTTTAAAAGAGCATTCAAAGAGTTGCTTTTATTACAAAAGCCCATCAATGTTTCGGATGAGTTCGATTCTTCACTATCAACCGAAAACAATAGTCTTCCACCTCTCTTACCAATACAAATAATGGTTGAGCCTTTGATTGTGCGTTTTCGTTATCATTTTGACTCCAAAAGGCCTACCAATCGAATTGACAAGGTAAATGCACTGATTGACTGCTATTTGATTCCACGATTTTTTTTATACAAACGCTCTAGCTTAGTTTAGCCCGAATGGTATTTTACCCACGTCCTCACTACAATACGCGAGCACTCTCCGTTTCTACAAGGTGCTGTGCAGGCGATTGTCGACGAAGCGGGATTTCAAATGTATCATGCAAAGGTAAATTTATGCATGCTTAAAATGACTATTATCAATTTGCATGCATGCTGAAATCAATTGTTTCAACTTTCCAGAATGATTTCATAAGATGCTTGCTTGTGGCAGTCATTAGAAAGTTAAACAATAACGCCCCAACGTTGTTGAATTCTCCGCAAGTTTTTTCGCACACGGTATTTGAAACATTGCAATTTGACCAAACACTCCGCGAATTGCATATGTATGTTCCTCCTGGAGAAAAGGAATGGAAAGGATGCGTCGACGTGTTTACCGGAAAAAAGGAATGGTTCAAGGCTTGGCTAAAAGTTGAAAAGGAATGTAAGTACAATATGGATTTTTATAATCGTCATTCCATCCTTCACAAGTGCAAATGCTACAGTGATGTTCCTGATATTAAAAGTTGCAGAGGCACGTTATAACGACATAATGCACACTGAAGATGCTTGGGAAATGGAGGATGATGAGATTCCCGAAGATGAGCTTAAGCCAACCAAATCAGCCGGAAAATTAATCAATCTTTTAGAGCTGATAACAGGTATTTTCCATTGACTGCTATTTTATATACAAATGCAGAAGAATGTTAATCTTATAATCCACAGGTCGTTATAAACTGCTACCGATGTTCCACAATCGGATTCGCTTTCTGGTTGATATCCAGGCTGCATTACTAGAAGCATATGCCAAAAGGATAGATTCATCGGTAGACGCTTTCGAGAATCTGAGTTATTCTTTCGTAAGAGCAGTTCCAAACTCGCCAAGCGCAGACGGAAAATCGCTTACTGGCGTAGAAGGGTTAAAAAGGCTTTGTAGATGGCTCAGCAGTTCAGGTTTCGTGAGCCGAACAATAAAAGAGTGGGGCGAAGATTCGGTATATATGATTTATTTGAATGGCGTTAATATCCTTATGTTTCGATCTAACTTGAGTAAATATTGTATGTTGAAACAAGTTTTTTCTAGAATTATGGCACGAAGTTACTGTGCGAGCGGCGCGCAATACAGGAACTTCTCCATTCCCATCTCCAATGTCATCCGAGAATTCCGAATCATCCTCAGCTCACGTAGAAGAGCCGATCACTGTTGATGAAGGAACAGTTTTTGATGATCCGGCGAGTTTGTTTGATGGTTCTTGTAAAAGGATTCAAGCATTAATAATAAAGAATATTTCCAGAGAATTTATTGATGGTTTAAAGGCGTACACTAAAAAGTACTGTGGAGCTTCTAAACTTTATCTGTTTTCATTGTCCCTAGATATTCCTCCAACTAATTACAAATTAATCAATAAGGAATAATTGGTCCCGATCAGACATATATGGTCCTGATTTTAACTTAATCCCAGTTCAACAACAATTAAATAAATCGCTCATTACGGCAGAAGTGATCACACCCCTGGAATCAAAAGATTCCAACAAGATTGATTTGTCGCCAGAACTTTACACCCCACTATCAGAATTGGCACATTCTCTTACTTTTCTATCCAACAACTTGCCGGCAAGAGTTTTCAAGCTATTATACAAGGAAATATCAAAAGAGTTGGAGGAATATTTGTGGGATCGTGTGTTAATGAGAAATCAGTTCTCTGAGATGGGTGGCTGGCAATTCGAAGTAGACATGAAAAAAGGTTTGTTCACAGTTGGAAAGCGATGGATTCAGAAGCCCGAAAATTACTTTAGAAGGTATGTCTTTTATGAGATTCCTGTCAAGGTCAAATAATCATTCTTTTAACGTAGACTTTCGTTTCTTCATGATGGCTTTTATTAGATTAAAAGATGCATGCATCCTGCTTACTCTTTCTTCAACGCAACAAGATACATCAACTGAA